CGCGCCTCAGCTGGCAAGTGGCAGAGCCAGATTTTGATACTACTCTTTTTTTTTTTTTTTTTTTTTTTTTTTTGCTCCAAATATTATGAGCTTGTTCAACCACCTCTGCTAAAATAGTAAGTGGGAAATCTATGTTGGGAAGACTGAGTCAGATGAGGAATAAAAAGAAGCCCTCCCCCCTCCAAAAAAATTATAAAGCAAGAATATTTATGGCTTTGGGGCAGAGACTTTTAAATTTAAAAAATAAAATGTGTTTGGGGCTGGTGAAGTGGCTCAGTGGGTAAAGGTCCTTGCTGCCAAGTCTAAAGCTGTGAGTTCAGTCCCTGCATCCTACATTGTGACAGGAGAGAACCAATTCCCTCAAGTATTCTCTGGTCTCCACAGGTGTATACACACAGAGAGACACACACACTGAAAAAAAAAGGAAATAAAGAAGAAAGGAAGGGAAAGAGAAAGAGAGAGAAATAGTTAGTTTTTAAATGATTGAGCTTTGAAGGCCATTAGCACTCATTCAGAACCATCTCGTCATTGGCCAGTGAGGATAGTAAGTCAGGAAAGGAAGCAGTCCTTGTTCCAGTCCAGTCACAGCTTGAATCTGCACTGCTATCCTTACGTAATGTAATAGTAAATGTAGCTAATACTGAGTTTTGCTTGCTGTACAAGGCACTCTGTTACACCCTCCATGAGTATTATCAGCAATTCTTTCAATCTTTAAAACTGTGTCTTGCTGTTAACAATAGCCACACTTTTTAAGGAATTAGCTTCGAAAGGTTTTAGTAAAACTGTCACTTTCAAAGCAACAGTTAATGTTCATATTCTGTGTGCTTCATAGGTGACAGGGTCGTTGTTTTTCTAATACTATTCCGGGACCAATAGGAACCACACTCAGGGGTACAAGATAAAGACTTAACTCAATGAGGTGTCAGCATGTTGCCAACATACAAACCCGTAACAACTGTCTGTGGCTTTTTACAAAGTTCTACAGTTCAACCTAAACAGGGGACCCAAGTTTATAAAGTTTATAACCCCTGAACTTGACTTTTGGAACCCATTACAAATGAGGTCCCAAGGTTTCCACTTGCAATAATGCTTTCCATTTTTCATTTTCCATTTCCAGTCAGTTTTCACCACCATTCACACCCTTTGTACTAGTTTGCAAACTTATCCTGTGATGTGCCATGGAAGTGAAAATGATTCTGTTCAGCAGGACACCGCTTCTGAATTACTGCAGAACAGAATCTCTTCCCATCTCCTGTCCTTCTCTTTTTATTATACATGCAATGAGTGCTCCAGAAATTGACAATTTCAGCATCCAAAGCAGAATGAGGGGTGGAGATGGACATTGTAATATCCACATCAGACATGACATCATGTTAATAAAATGCAGACATACCCCCAGAACTGTTGCATTGACACTGGACTATGTTGGGGGGGGGGGCAGAAAGACTAGGTTTCTAATAGACATTGTCACCAGAACAAGAGCACAGATACCTCAGCCTAACAACAACTGCAAAAAGAAATATGCTTCTGAGGCTTCAATGCCGGGCTGCTGTGGAACAAGCTATGCTTTTCAAAGTCCTATTCTTTTTTTCTTCCATGGGTTGATGTGTACATATGTGACATGCCTAGGAGGGAGGGCCTGTATGCATCAAAGTGCACATGCATGAGCCCAAGGACATTGGATATCTTCTTCAATGTCCTCTCCTCTGTTTATTAGGCAGAGTGTCTTGATGAACTCGAAGCATGCCTGCCTAATCCAGATAGCCAGCTTGCCCCTGAGCTCCCTTGGCCCTGCCCTCCGAATGCTGGCTTTGCTGCAGGTGGATCCCAAGTCTACCCTCTTCCTATGTGGGCCCTAGTGATTATAACTGAAATCCTCGTGCTTGCACAGCAAATGCTTGAGCCACTATGCCATCTCTCTGGCATCCAAAATCCTGTGCTTTTCTATGGCTTTTTATTTTTCCTTGTAAAGTCATGGGAATCCTGCTGTTCTGAAAAATTTGTACAGTATGGAGACACCCGATCTGCACACAGGGATGGTGGAAAATAGCCCCCATCAGAGGTTTTCTCACAGTATATTTTAAGGGAACCACATAGGTAGCTTGAGTAAACCATAAACTATGTAGAGATTTGGAATGATTCAAACCTACACACACTACTGGACACACTGCTGTGACACTGACCCCATGGGGACAGTGGTCATCATGCCACCATTGGTATTTACTGCCCAGGATTATTCTGCAAACTTCAGGTTGTTTCTGAAGAATCGTGATTTTTCATGTTCACATTTAAATGACTGATTGCGGTCAGCATTAATGGATCAGAGCTGACTGGGTAAGTGAGATAGTCACACTGGGAGGATCATTTTGCAGCTTCTCCAGTCCTACTTAATGGCCTGGAAAGGTAATTTACTAAGTTTAATGTAGAAGCTGGAAAATTTTATTTCGATCCCTTTCCCCAAACCACTACTTATTGCCTCCAGATATATAGCTTATTCACCTTGTAAAGACTTTTCCTTCTCACTCTCTTCTGATCTTTTGCAGATGTTTTTCCTCTGTTGTGAAGAAGTCATACAAATTCAATAAGCTAAGGGTAGATATTTTTAGTATGCATAAAGGGAAAGAAGACAAGCCGCCAGTCATTCATTCACATTCTAGTATAAACAGTTTTACAACTAATTAAGTTGGTGATGCTCCTTAGAAAGCAAGTTTTTGTTTGGAATTGCTGGAAGGTGGTGTATTAAAAACTAAGAAGAGTTCTTCAAAGACAGAGGTCTTTGTAAAAGAAAAGAGAAGTTATTTAAATTGTTGGTATAAAAGGTATGGTTGATTTAGCTTATAATGTTCCCCAAGGAAAGACATTGTCTTCATGTATTCATTCCATTTCTAAAGAACACCTTTTCAGTGTTATTTTTTTTAAGTGGACTGCTACAACGTCTATTTATCATCTGCCAGCTGCTAAGCACATCACACCCTCTGTCGCATTTAATCACCCAAGTAGCTTGGAGAGGCAGGAGCTACTCAGCAGGTACCTCCATGGTGCATGCTCTGCGTTGCATTAAGCCTTCTACGCATTTTAACTCATTTATCTTCATATCTCATCTGCAATGGATGCTACAAGTTGTCATTTCACAGATACAGAAACTGAGATACAAAGGAATTAGACGACTGACAGCTAGCAAGCTATGGAGCAGGGTTGGCGCTCTGGCTTCCCAGCTGTGGCATCAACAACTTCTCACCTTTGCTGTTCATGTGCTTGTCAGCATGAGCATGGAAGTAGTGGCAGTTAGGACCTCTCGTGAACACCAGAGCTGCCCCTGGGCTACACAGAGAAATTAGAAAAGTCAGCCCCAGCCCCAAGCTGTACATCTTCTCTACTTGGGACCCTCATTACTAATGCACTGGCCATGGTGCTGGTGTGAAAAGCAGTCACGTGCATGTGCCTCCCCGTCTGTGACGATTTCACGGTGGCACTTACTGTGATAATGAAGCCAGGCATGGTAGTGTAAGCCTGTTATCTCAGCCCTTAAGAGCCTGGGGCAGAAGGAGCCAGCCTAGGTGAGATTTTGTCTCAAGAAAAAAAAAAAAAATGATGCGTGTTTGTGTGTGTGTGTGTATAGATATTTATTCATATATACATGTGTGTATGTGTATATCTATATGCATACACACATATACCTGTGTATATATACATATATTTGTCCATACATAAATATTATATTTATGTGTATATTCAATATATGAAATATATATTGAAATAAATAAAATTAATTTAATACCTATATATTCAGTAATGATTATATATATTATATATACCTATATAGTAATGAGTATATATATAAATGATTAGAATAAAAGGAATACATAGGCAAGGTGGCTTAGCAGATGAAGGTGCTTGCCTCTAAGTCAGACAACCTGAATTTGATCTCCAGATCCCATATGGCAGAGGGAGAGAACTGCACACTGTTCTTCAACCTCCACATGCACGCTAAATAGCATATGGGTAAAATAAACAAACAAACAAATAAATAAATACTTTTAAAGGCAAATGGGGAGAAATGAGCTATGAGTTTGGCTCACCGTTAAGTTTACTTGTATTCTTAAAAGCACTTGGGTGATGGCTTAGGCAAGAGCGGTCTGCACTGAGGATCTAACCATCGCCAAAGACAATCTTTGTCCTAATCTACAGCCATGCTTCTTGATCCTGAAGGAGCATACATAGCGCTTGTACATCACGACAAATCCACATCTGGATGGGCCTGAGACTCTGCACTCCCAACAAGCTTAATCTGGGCCCTCGAGTTCAGATTCAAAAGAGAGCACTTTCATAAACAGTAGAGCGTGTAAGGAGTTCAAGGGAATTGGCACTGGGCCAAAAGAAGTCTCAGCAGCAGAAGGGCTGCAAAAGCTCATCTGGTCCAATTATGCAATCAATGCTTTCTGTCCTGTTTCTGGTTAGTCATCCTGGCCCTTGAGTTATGTAGGTATTCTTCACTGATGGGGACTGAACAGTCAGTGGAAGAAGAGAAAACTTAAAGTGATGCCTCAATCACAGGAGAAATTCCAGAGCAAGACTTAAGACTGCGTGTCTCACACCCAGAGGAAACACAGCCTCTGCAGGATATTTTTTCAGTTCCTTTGGATATTTGTTCAATTTTTTTTCATAATAAATGTGCTCTACCAGAGCTTAATATGAGAGCGCTGACTCCCCCAAGTATTTGCCTCCCACTGTGAAAACAAGATTCAGCGCTGGCTGACAGGTGAGAACCACTGACAGCTGTGCAGCAGCTCTGCTGCAGGCAGCACAATCCAGGGCTCCTGGGACATCACATATTTCAATGACCAAGAACTGCTAGGATCACGGTGGAGTTACTTCTTCCTGTTTCAACAATTGAAGCAGGAACTCATTTCGTTCGGCCCTCTGATTGAGGGGATGTCAATGTCTCTTTTCCACTCACTCTGTCCTTCAGCTATTTCACAGTTATCTGCTTTCCATTTCAGGTGCCAGGAGAGAGTGAGAAACAGTGGAAACCAGCCCTCGTTGTTCTGACTGAGAAAGATCTTTTAATCTATGACAGCATGCCACGAAGGAAGGAGGCCTGGTTCAGTCCAGTGCATTCATATCCACTTCTTGCCACCAGGTAGCCTTGGCTGAGGGTTTGGGTGTTGGGCTGCAAGTTTGATACTATCTTAATCGATTCTAGGGTGTCTAACAGTATGGCAGGGGCTGAAACTCCTCAAGAATATGGGTGCACATAGTTAACCAGGCAAGTTACTATCTGTTGTTAAACACAAGACAACATGGAGACAAGCAAAATAATCAACTGTCATTAAGGAACCAGAGCATTTGTGTGATATCCCAGGCTGGACTTGAACTTGGAAATGAACTAGATTTGTGTGTTTCCAGTCTCAGTGGCCAAGGGTAATCATCAATCATGGGCCTTTACCTTGCAGTACAGCAAATAGCCTGTGCAGATGCCCTTTCTGTTTGTAAGAGTTTACTCAGAGTAAGTTCCTCCTATTCTGTGTGAAATTCCTGTGGAAGTGGGAACACCTCGTTCTGTCTCTTTCTTGGAATGTTCGCTGTGTACTAGCTATTCACGTGAACTGTAGCTTTTCTTAGACTTCCTCACTTGGCTCTGACTGGCACACAAAACGCTGTACGTATAGAGGATGTAATTGGATGCAGAGAGATGTTCACATCCACAGAACCATCACCATAATTAATGCGATACTGCATATCCACCACCTCCAGGAAGTTTCTCCTGACCTCTTTATGTCACATGATGGAAACGTTGCACCCACTGGCCAACACTTACCAGTTTCTCCCTCCCCTCAGCAACTGATAACAATCATGAAACTGTTACTGTGAGTTTGACGTCTTAGAGTCTTCATATAAGTTGAATCATGTAGCATTGGTCCTTCTACTTCTGACTTATTTTACTTAGCTGATTTTTTAAAGCTGAATAACATTCAATTACACACACACACACACACACACACACACACACACACACACACACCATATCACATTACCTTTTCCTTATAGGAAACCTCACATTTGCTGATTTCAAGTACATAATTAAGTCAGTGGAAACCAAATGCAAATGATACTGACACAATAATATGCATACTAATGGAAGCCAATGGAAAGTTCAGAAATAGATGTACCCATTTAGAGTCAATTGATCTTTGACAAGGATGTCAAGAGCAAAAGACATATGGGGAAATCATAGTCACTTCAATAAATGGTGCTGGGAAAACTAAATATTCATATGCAAAAGAAAAAATCGGTTTCTTATCTCAAACTACATAGAAAAAAATCAACTCAACTGTAGATTTAAAATGTATTTTAACATAAAATCTGAAATCAAGAAATTCCTAGAAGAGCACCATCTTGACATTGGGCTTAACAATAACTTATTAGATATGACACAAAAAGTGCAAACAACAAAAAGCAAAAAGATAAACAGGATTACAGCAAACTATAGAACTTCTGTCTGGCAAAGCAAACAACAAAAATGAAGCCCACAGAATGTGGTGAAAGATTTGAAAACCACATGTCTGATTCAGAATTCAGAATATCAAGGAGGTCCTACATCTCAGTAACAACAACAATACACACACACATACACACCTTGGTTAGAATACACACTATGGACCCAAAGAGACACTTATCAGAAGACACACAAATAAACAATAGATAGGTCTGTGTAAAAACAGCTCATCACTAATCCTTGGGGAAGTGCAAATCATATAAATGTTTTATTTTCTCACCTCCTTTGGATGACTATTATTAAAAAGTACAAAATAAAAATGCTATTTTTTTTATTATTTTATTGACTTTTTGGGGAATCTCACATCATGCACCCTCCTTGTACTCACTTCACAGTCGTCCCATGTCCAAACCTCTTCCCCCATGACCTCCCCCAAAAATGAAGAAGAGAATTTAAAGAAAAGAGAATTTAAAAACAAAGTCCATTTTATGTGGTCCACACACTACTCCCTGGAGCATGGTCAACTTCTTAGAGGCCAGTCCTCTATGGAAGGTTAGTCTTTCTCCATCTGCACCTCTGCCAGAAGCCATCAACTGCAGAATCTCCAGCTGTGGTGAGGAGTGGGGCCAGCTCACCCCACCCATACCACTGCTAGCATTGCCTGGAGGCTTGTGAGGCATGGAGCCAGTTCAGCAAGGCCCACAGACATCAATATGGCCTCAGGTGGCAGCCCAGACCACAGACATGGACCACGGATGGCATGGCCTTTAGTGGTAACACAGGCCACAGACATCAACTTGGCCCTTGACTGTATCAGGACCACTAACCTACTCATGGCCCTTAGTAGCTGTACAGAAGCATGGGCCTCAGCATGGCCCTAGGTGGCTATACATGCCACTCACATCACCATGCCTACCCCATACACACCAACACCACTACCACCACCACCCTCAACCCCGCGGTAAAGCCCGAGGACATCACCAAGTCATCATTCAGCGACATAGACTTCATATGTCCACATGGATCTCAGCCTGGGGTAGTAGAACAGACCACAGTCACCAATATGGTGACTGTGGAATTCCTCCTGTGGAATTATGGACCACAGTGGTTCTTCAAGGAAGGACCTTGAAACTGCCCCATCTCAAGCCTCCATCATTACCCAGAGCCAGGGACATCTCAAAGCCACTGAAGGTCAACTCAGGTGGTGGAATGCAGAGTTAGCCTGTCCACTATTCTGTGTGCTCTCACCACACAAGAGAGAGCACTGGGGAGACCTAGGGAGCATTGAGAGTCTTGGGATTAGTTACAGACATAATTGGGATAGATACTTTGACATTTGGTAAAAAAAAAAAAAAAAAAAAAGACACAAAGATCAAGGGGTGACTGCTGACATCAGATGTGGTTCTAACTCCATGATGAAGAAAAGGGAAACAAATAGGTAAAAATAAAACCATACTTCAATGAGGACACAAGACTTTAGTTTCGGGAAGACACAGTAGTTTCTCAGAGGTTGCTTTCCAGTCTTCCCTAATGTGACCAATCATAGCAATAATGTGACTTGGTAAAATTGGAAGGCCTAAAGAGGCTTCAAGTAGACCTGGTTCCCCAGAGGTGCAAGAGGGGACAATGAGTGTGAGGAAAGGAAATATTAAATGAGTGCTTTAAAGAGGACCAGGAAGGAAGGAGGGTATGGGCCAGGAGCCACCAAAGGTGGTTGGGTTCTGGTTTCTGAGCCTCTCCCTGACCCCACAGAGAACTCTTTGCTCTCTGCAAGCCCCTTAGGCTTACTTCAGCAAATTGAATGTTAATAAAACTAAAAGTGTACTTCCTGTTTCACTGAATACACACGCCTGAATACTCAATAGTCGTGTGTAGCTGGTGGCTACCATGATAGATAGCACATGTCCAGGGTGTTCCCCCAACTGCCAAAAGCTCTATCGGTCAGTACTTCCTATAGCAAATGCGCTGTTAAACACACAATGCCTGACTTCTAGCAGCTCAGCCTCTGCCTTTTTGATGTTGTGATGATGCAGAAATGTTGTACCTCAGTAGAAACAATGGGTGCTCTACATTGTCCTGTTGCTAAATTATGGTGTTAAGTAGGATACGTATATTCAGTGCGCTGTGGACTTGATATTTAAGGGGAAGGGTGGGTTTATCAATATTTAATCCTTTGTGAGTTAAGGAGTACAGGTACATGACACCTCCAGAGATTGTCCCACTCCCACTTAGTTAGCCAGCTGGCCCCTACCCCAAGGAGTCCTTCAGCAGCTAAAGATGCTGGATAGCTGTCGTCCTTGGGGTCTTAATGCTGGCTGCATAAGCAGGCTCAACACTTCCAGGCTCAGGGCCATTGTTAAAGAAACTGACAGGTGACAGATGGCCCTTAAAAGCAAAGTCTCCAGAAGGAGACACGGCATCTCACAGAGAATGAGGTCTGAGAAGCTTCCAGGGCAAGAATGCCAAAAATATGTGATGCAGGCGTGCAGGTGACGGGCAAGCCAAGGATGGCTTGTGGGCACCACACATAAATAATTCTAAAGGCATAAACGTTTATCTGATGTGAGAATGAGAAAGGAAAACCCCTTCAAGTGCACACATGTAGCTGGCTAGAACACAACACAATATGAAGATATTGTAACTATAAAGGAGAGCCGGTGGCTCTTCCTCCATTCACCATCATCCTTCCAAACAACACGGACTAACCATTGAGCTGCAAAATGAAACTTATTCTGTATGTGTGCGAGACCTGCAGGGATAAAGTCAGGGCCATGGGTATTACTCTGAACTCCATCTAGCAGTTAAGAAGTTCAGCATATTCAGGTGGCTCAGCTGGTCGTTCTCACTTCATCCCCTCCAGCTAGTAGGCAAAATTCACTGTGTGCTCCCGAGTGGCGGTCTAGAAATGTAAAGGCAACAAATTTCCATCTTAGTCTCTCTTTTTCTAGAACAGTGCCCACCTCCAGGCTAACAAACCTCCTGTCTCTCAGAGCCCTCATTTGTTAAATGCACTCAGAGGGGTATCTTTGATATAAAGCCCATGAACAATGCTTTAGAAAAATAGGTTTTTAAGAGACCTTGCCTTGGATACCAGTCACTGTAGGTCATTTTTCCTGGACAGCTTCTCTCTGGAAACTCCATATGAAGACTTTCATAAACTAGACAATAAAAACAAAGTCTATTTCCCATGCTATTGACTCAGGACATGGTGCCCCCATGCCTGTATATGCAGGGCTTCCAAATGAAGCATGGAAGCTGAGGCTCCCTCCAGCTGTACCTGGAGCTCCTTCCAGATTGCGCACAATCAGGTTCTCTAAGATGTTGCAGAGAGGGCTGAGCTGAGGCTTTCTACTTCTCAGCAAAATCATTTCTGGAAGTGGTGGGTGTGGGAGCTAAAGAAAATTAGGGTCCTTCCTATTGGAGGCTACCCTAGCATGGAAATGTGGACATCTTCCCTAAACTCTTATCCACAAAGTACATCTTTTGTTTCCTCCTGCATCAGATATTTCTTTTTTTATTGTGACCAAATAGCAACTAAAAATGGTTTATTTTGTCTCACAGTTTGAGAGCACAGAGTACATCATGAGGGTAGAGCATGATGACAAGAGCATGAGGTAGCTGATCACAAATGTCCTTAATTAGGA